GTACCCACCCCTATACATATTATATCCAACTAAAATAGTTTGTGAGTGTGCATCCACTGTTTTGAAACATGTAGACTTAGTCTAGTGTTTTTTTCCAACTCCAAAAACTCAGGACATTGTGACTTCATTCCAATTATTCAAGTCCAATTAATTGAAAACAGTTTAATTGTTCCACAGTTTACCAACTCAGATGCACTTTCATGATTGTACACATGTAGTCTAGTGTTGCTTGAATCATAAAATCATTAAATATAAAAAAGAAACCTCCTTACCCCATCTCCAGGAAGATCTGTCTGAACTGAGCGCGAACCTTCAGTAGAGGGTGGAGGTGTCCGCTGGCCGGGGGAACGCCGAGCGCATCGAAGTTGTACGGCTTAAACTTCTTCTCCTTCCACTGACCGCTGGAGGACAACAACAATTAGTACATCAGTGCAGGAAGTACAACAGCTACCAGAGATACAGTAACTACAATAGAACCTGGTCCTAGCAATCACTCAAGGGACTGGGGAAACATAGTTACTGTTGCTGAGGAGGCATACAAGAACTATCAGTACAAGAAGGCACTAAGCTACAGTCAGCGACAACAGCCGGGATTCGAACTCCTAACCTCTTGATCTAGAGCAGGGTTGCTATATGCTAACTACTTACCTGACTTATTTTTTGGTCTCTATCTTCCATATTTGTTTGTAAATTGACTACAGTGTTTTATTCTATCTTCTGATTTATTGGCAATTGGCAAATTTTAAAAGTACATTACACTGACTTTCAAGCAGCATGGTTGATTTTTGAGTCAACGATTATATAGTATAATACATCATCTATCAATAACTGAATATCAAAATATACATAAATTGACCTTTAAGAGGAAAAACATCCCACCTACCTGTTGATCATCTCCGGTGTGAGGTCTGTGTCCAGTTTGGTAACAGAGGTACTAAACCCACTTCCCTTCCTCAGAACAAAACTGTTCATAGTTCTGGAGATGGAAAACAACACATTGGATCAGCCTGTGTTAAACAATCTCTCACTCTCAGGGGCTTGTTAAGCCTCCTGTCTAAGACCCTTAGTAAGAGCTTGTAGCCAGAGAACCATTACCAAACCCAGAACTACTAATATGAGCTCAGGATTCTTTTGTCACTATGACAAAAAGTCCAATAGGAGCTCAGGATTCTCTGTCACTATGGAAACCAGTCATCACAGCCTCCAACACCATGGTAACAGGCAGCTCTCAGTCTGACAATAAGACTGTTTTAGAATTTTTAAAAGCTTTTTTAAGCTTTCTGTTGCGATTTCTATTTTGTTGGATTCTCTTTTGGGTATGCTGGGACTACAAAATGCCTAACAGGCCTATTACCTCTGCTAGCTACAAATTTAGCTCAGACTCAGTCAGAGAGAACCACAATCATGATGCTTGCAGAAACCATGCAGACTGAGTAGAGAAGAACCTATAGTGAGATGTTCTTACACTTCTTGGATGAGTTTGCGTTTCTTCATCTCCTGCTTGACCTTGTTGTCGACACCTTCACCTTGGTTGGCCTGGATGTCTTGCACAGTTCTTTGCACATCGTCCTCAATAGAGCTCACCTGAAAACAAAACAGGGATCCAGGATAACTAGGAAACCAACGAGATCCTTCCACCATTGGTGCCAAAATTTCATCATTTTTTTGGTGGACTTGACACTTAGTATAGACGATTTCCATGTTTGCCTTCCCAGAAGGAAAACATATTGTTTTTGCTTTGTTTCTTCCTCTCCAAACAAAAAGGTCAACGACCTGAACCAGAAAGCTGTCACCATGGTAACTAGTGCTGTAGCAGATACATGTACCCTGTGGTGTTGGATTACATTATGTAGCAATTGGCAGGACAGAGCTGGAGGGGATGGCCACCATATACAGGTGTTTGAGTAACAATCAACAGAGAAAATTGATGTAGTTTGTTAAGCTAGAGCAGGTATGAAGGTAAACAAAATTAAGCCTTTGCTTTGCAGGTGTTACCTTTCTTGCTTTTATTTGTTTCCGTACATGAGACCTTTAACTTACCGCTTGCTTGACCACTGGTCCGTTGGCTCCCTTCTTGTCCATCTGGATCCATTTCTTCTTCATGGCATTACTGAAGCCGACCTTGGCATTGGGAACGCTCTCCTGGAAAACAGAGTAAAGACATGAAGAGCCACCAGGGACAGTCAACCTTCACTCAACTGCCACAGGGGCCAACATCGTTTACCAGATAGTTTTGACAGTACAAGTGTTGATGTCACACTTCAAAGAAGCCACATGACAAGTCTCACTGGGTCAGTTTATTGAAGAAGACCAGAATGAAAGCTCTATGAGAGAACAATCCTTTGTGTTGGAGCAAAAGTTTTGATTTTAAACACCATAAAGACACGGTTGGGAAAAACTCTTGTTACATCATGATGACAAAGACAAGATAGTTATCAAACGAACAGAGATTTCTTCTACATGTATTTCTGATTACTAGTATATGTGCATCATGTGCATGATAGTTATTTTGTGGTCTCTTATTATATCCATTACTTACTAGTACATGTACGTGATCTTACATATCAACGTCAGAACCTTAACGCTCACTCACACACACACACACACACACACACTGTCCGGTTTATTGTCTGTTGTTCCCTGTCTTTGGAGGGTTAACAAGTAATAAATAAACAAACAATCACCATGAGTTGTTTTTGCAGGATGCCCTCTGGTGGAATAGCGCGGTACAGCAGGGCTTCGTGGCTGCCGTTCTCTGCAACCTGCCGGCCTTCTCCTGTCAACTCCCACCATTTAGACACTCGCTGTTCTGCTGTGATCACCTGAAGGGGGTGGGGGGTGGTTGGAAAGCTGAATTAGCCTTAGAATATTGAGGTTCACTAGCACGTCAGCAGAACGTACTGGCCCTGTGCAAAACGCGTAATGTATTGTGCATAGCACTTCGGCCAAATATAAGGTCGTATTTACATATAAATATATATAAATTACATATAACATGTAAGAAAAGATATCCTCTGCAACAATCAAAATTCTGATGCAATGGTGACCAAACATCCAGACAAGACAATAGCAACAACAAATTGCCAAATGTTTTTTAAGTGACTTTACCACGTTATAATGTGCCAACATCAATTCAGCCTGTGACACAAATTAACTTTAGAAGAGGCATGGATCTGAGACTCCAATTAAGGTAGGAGAGGTAAACTGGTGTGCCCATGCCTTTCTTTTATTGATGACAAAAATAAAATACGTTGAGATGAAGCCTGGAGTAGCTAGTGAAAGTGTAGTTTCGTCAAAATAACAAAGGACACCGGGGTAGTCCTTAATATATTAATTTGTAACCAAGCTAGTCTATCTTTTAGTTGTTTGCCCCCCTCCCCCACTAGCCGGAACATATGCAAACCCCAGGAACTATTTCATATCCTTACATCTCCAAGCGACTGTAGACTTTTGACAGCTCCTACGATCAGTTGGTGGTCTTTCCCGAGTTGTGCGGCGATATCCTTGGTGTCAATGCCGTCTCTGTCCTGCAAAAGTTGCAGGATTGTCGCATCCACGCCTTCGGCTGCCATGATGAAACTCTAGGTGTACGTCACCTACTCTGGTACTCAGGGATTCGGGACACAGTACCCTGGGTACGTCGGTAAAGCGCCCTCTAGCGTGTGTGTGCAGGCGTGCATCTTTCATAGTACATGTATTGAAATATTGATAGGAAATTTTATAGAGAAAAACTAAAGTAAATTATTACTCAAGAAACTGAATTATATAGAGAAAACCTGTAGTAAATTGTTACTCAAGGAACCTGAATAGGTTTT